TTTTTTTATTTTTAACCAATGTAAACAATGAACAGAGGTAAAAAAAAAAAAAAAAAAACTAAAACAAAAAAAACTATAATTTTTTTTTTATTGCTTTAACGTATAACTTTACTAACGTCTCTATTTTTATCAGCCCGTCAAAGAACATTTGAAGGATCTTACTGGCGAACAAGTTTAGCGCAATTCACTTTCTCTTTATTTATCCTTCGAGTGTTCGAACCAGCTTTCTTTGCAATCGGTATAGTATTTATAGTAATTGGAAGTGCATTACTTTGCATTTCTTTTCTTAGACGACAAAATGACATCGATTTACTTGATCATTCTAAACCATTTGTTACTAGCGGTTTATATGTTGCACTTACGGGATTGGTTGTCATGGTGTCTTACTTTACTTTGTTATGTCTCATCTGTATTTTACGCTAATTTTGAGTTCAAACTTTATTTCTACAATTAAATAATTATTTGTAAGATTATTTGTAATGTTCTTTGTAAGATTATTTTTAATATTATTTTAATATTATTTTTAATATTATTTTTAATATTATTTGTATTAATATTATTTGTAAAATTATTTGTAAGATTATTTTGTATTTTTATCTTTAAAAATTTGGATCATGTATAATATTAAATAGTATAAATGCGTAAACTTTATATTTTAATTATTAAAATTATAAAGCTTATAAATATTAATGGCAGAATTAAATATTAACTTTAGTGAATTTAAAATCTATTTAAAATATATTTTTTCTATTTTCAATATTATGGGTTTACTGGTTTATTTTTTTTATTTTTTTTTATGTTTTTATCTTTAGCAAAAATAAATTAGTTTTCTTATAAGGAAAAAAAAAAAGGCACATTATATTGTTAAAGAAAACTATTATTATTTGAATCTTAATTACAGCAACCAATATAGATATGCACGAAATCTAAAAAATGTTCAAAACCCCATCAATTCGAAATTTCGGAAGAGGAAATCATTCGTTAGATTATAATTTAAATATAATTTAAATATAATTTAAATATAATTTATGGTGCTAAAGGATTTGAAGATATAAGAACAATAGAAGGAATATTTATAAAAATGTAATCTTATCACTTTATTTAAAACTGGATAATAATAATAATAACGTTAGTTTATAAAAAAAAATTATGTAAATTATTCTTGGAGAAAATTCCATTGAGATATCTGATTGTTAGTATGAAAGAGAACTTTGCAATTGATTATTAATATTCGGCAGAACTTTGCGCGTTAAATCATCACAGGGGCTACAGAACAATACGAATACCAAATATTGTGTCTATCTCCTTCATGCTTAAAACAAAAACAATGGGGTTTCAAAATTAACAAATTAGTGAATTATAAATCGGAAAAAATAAAATAAGATTCTCTATATCTCATCGCGAGTGGATTGGACTTCTCCAAAATTAACCTTTCACTCCTACGTTCATTGTCTAGGTTGAAGTACCACAAATATGACAAAGTTTGAAAGTTGCATAACAAATTTGATCATGAAATTTGAACATGGGTGGTTTGCAGTGAGTACTTCCGTAGACTTGAACTGGAAAACAGTAAAATCTAAGTTTATAAACCAAATTAAAAAAGAAATGTCTTTATCACAAGCCGCGTCTGAAGAATAAAAAATGTTATCCGATAGCTTACTATGTTAGTGCTGCCAAAATAACTTCGTTATTTGGCAGTTTATGTAATCACTACCAAAATTCGAGTCATTTAGAAGCACAATCGTCGTAAACCATCGGATAAAACCGTTATTGTATGCTACGCTAGCCAATAACTCCTAATGAATTATTTTACAAATAATTCTCGTTA